TTTCAAGGAGATGATACTGCTATACAAGTCTTCAAAATAAAGGCTTTACACAAATTCTGTGAACCTTGATGGCAATGTATGTAATTCTTCCAAATGAAACCCTGAACCTGATAAATTCTAAGATATGCTGATTCTTTGAAAATAGAAAAATTACTTTACACTATAATTTCACAACTTCATTATCACCATACAATTTTAAGTGGTTGTGTGCAGATGTGATCACATACAGATGATTTTTAAAGTCTAGCCCTTTCTTCACATGAATAAATATATAATATTTCTGTTTTCTAAGAACAATTGCTGCAGATTTTCAATAAACACTGAAGTATTACAGAATATTAGTTTAACTAAACCTTCTAAGTTGAATGGAGAACAACCAACCTTTTTACAACCCTTACTGTGTGCCTTTGCAGGTATTCTAGAAATCCGAACAGTGGCAGTTGGAATAGTGGCAATCAAAGGAGTGGAAAGTGAATACTTTCTGGCAATGAATAAGTCAGGAAGACTCTATGGAAAGGTATGGATGCAAACTTCTCTTGTGTGTACAATCACCATGTACAATCTTAAAGATATGTATTTTTAGATGTAGCATTTGTATAGTTTGTATAAAATAGATTCCTAAGAAATTACAATGTATCCTGTACATATACTATACATCTCATACTAGACTTTTATGTCCATTTATTAAATTCAGTGATTAGAGAGATATACTTTTTGAAAATGTGTCATACTAAGGGGGAATAGACAAAGCTAATATATTCAATACTCAGATTTCAGAAGTCAAATTTATTTATTAAAAATATTAATAATATGTGAGATTTATAATGCATGTTCTTCTCCCATCTTCCCTAATCTAAGTATTTTTTAAAACTCTCGTACTTATTTTACTCTATTTTATTATTTACTCTCAACAGAAAGTATGCAATGAGGACTGCAACTTCATAGAACTGATTGAAGAAAACCATTATAACACATATGCTTCCGCAAAATGGACTCACAAAGGAAAGGAGATGTTTGTTACATTAAACCACAAAGGGGTCCCCATGAAAGGTAAAAAAACAAAGAAAGAACATAGAGCATCCCACTTTCTTCCTCTGGCAATATCCTAATCACAAATGATCTATAAAGAACTAGTTCCAGCAGGAAGATTATTTTTAAGACGACTATTTGACAAGATATCAAGAGAGGCTGGAATACTACTGAGAAACTGAACAAGCTGGACTTGCGCATTTATGTTTATTTTTAAGAGACTACATGAAAAAGATTTGAAAATATACACAAAACCAGATTTACTAACTAAAAGTTGTAAAAAATTCTAAAGAGTTGTACAATCATTATCTTAGTCATTGTAACTGGGTAGTTTCTTAAATTAATTTACCCTGAAGAATAAGTCATGACTTGATTATCTGATAATATTTTATTTAAAAAAACCTATCTGCTTCTTAAATATGGCTGCTATAATAATAATAAGCAGATGATAATGTTGTGTAAAATATGTCAGACTTTAAGGCTGCTGGAATGAGTTGTCAGATTATCAAGTCAATAGTAAATGTGGAGACTGAGCAGTATTTTAAATACTTCCCCCCAAAACTGATATCCTATACATAAACTATATGATCAGAAAAAAAGTATATAATCTTGTAAATGTTTATTGTTGTATTCAGATAAAAGAGTTAGTTTGGAAAAAATAAGTTTACTCTACTACAAAATGTTCCTATCTATTAAACAAATACCTAATGCTGCTCTAAAAGATGTTTCAAATAGTGTATGTAAAATAAGAATAGGAATACATAATGTACTTCATCTCACTCTTCACAAATTAACATTTTATATAACGATGAAGCAAAAATTCAGACATACTAAGGTTTTTTATGTAACATATCCTATATTTTGTATAATTCCTGTTAGGGCATACAGCTTTCAATATTGTTTTTCCATCCTTATACATGCTTTTTCTGTTGTTACAGCATTAAACTTTATTTTAAGTTGTATTTGAACTTTATTGTTCTAAGTTATTTAAATGTTATTTATAAAAAAAAAAAACTTATGAAGCTGCATCTGTTTCATATGCTTTTAATTCTAAAGGAATAACAAAATGGTCTGGCTGAGATGCATGAATTTTTTTCTGTGAGCAGACACAAAGACTAGTACACAACCCTCTTGCCAACATACATTGGATGGCAGACAAAAATGACAGCCTGCAGCAAATCGCACAATGGACATCTCAAAAGAAACAATGCAAAAATATAAAAAATCTTTGCCACATACTCTTGCTGATTGAATTTAATAGCATGCTCAGAGTTACACCAGGTAAAAGAAGGTTACAGTTCCATCAGGTACTGAAATAATCCTCAGATGGTAGAATGTACACTCACAGATACAGAAATATGTAAGAGCCTATACAACTAGTTTGAAACTTCAGCCAAAATCAATGGGACCTGATGAAGAAAAGATATCTTAATTTTCTAGCTATTGAAGTGTTCAACTAAGCCCTACATGACTAATACATTATATCATTTCATTCTGTTCAGTTTGCCTACAAGTTTTCTCAGTATTGTGATAACAGTTAGAAATATAAATAAGTTTTCTCAGTCAGCTGCTAGATGACTGAGGTATAGTCAAGTTAATTACTTAAATTACTTAATTAAGTGCTCTACTTTTCATTATAAGTGTCTAGAGTCCACTGTTTCTTCCTACATGAGATATATTTTTTATAACATCACTCACAGAAAATGGCAACAATTCTCTTTAATGAATATTTCTTTTTTAAAAAAATACTTGTTCAACAAATACTATAATTTGGAAATAATTTATGATTTTTGACTTGCTAATATCAAACATCAAAGTGTAGAAATAAATGGGTCTGTGCAGAAAAATCTGTCAATACAACTATACCAGTAAACCTTCAGTGTGCTTTTGCTAGTTTAGCTATTACTTGTTCACCAAACACAATAGACTGTACTATCAAAGAAACTTTTTTGCTGATAACTGTCTGCACTACTTTCTGTGAATATATAAACCCTGAAACAAAGTTCACACTCATGATCAACATTAACATACTAGCAAAAGTTTCTAGATCTAAACTAGGTTAGTTGAAGCTTTGAAATGAAAATTAAGAGAACAAAATCTCATCAAGATTTTTGTGCTTAAAAGCTTTACTGAAGTTTGAATTAAAATTTGAACATGCACATTAATATATCAATATATATGCCAAAAAAGCTTAAAATTAAATCCAGATACAGACAACCTCTTCTAAAGATCTTTTTATTATGTAGTTCAAGAATACAGGAATACAGTCAAACAAGTCCTGATCCCAATGGTAACTAGCCTTTACTACGATGTGCTTTATCTAATGATTTACCATCATTATCAGGTAAGCCAAGGCTGCTTTATGTTTTACAGCTGTCATATCTGAAATGCATCCTATGAGTGAATAGTTCACAAAAAGACACCTGAGTGCAAATGATACAATCATTGTAGCATAGTCATATGGCCTTATAAGTGGCGATAGCATTCTTATGTTGACTTAGCAGAGGAGGGGTTGTATTCAAGAAAAATCAGTATTTTCCCTTTCTTTTATGCTTTCTCTTTCACTTCTTCTGAAATTTTAATATTCAAACAGATTTAAAGTTTAGAACATATCCTAGGATGTTCTATTCCAGTATGTAATGGAAAAGGTGAATAGAAAAGCAAGACCAGATCAACCTAGTTGAGCATTTATCAATGTATAACTTGGAAAATCTCTTCTGAAATAAAATATATTTCTTTTCAGCTGTCTCCAAGAAAATCAGTTTAGTGCTAAAATCAGAGAATAATAACCAGAAAATGTATAGTGATGATCTACAGTAGCAAACTATTAAAAGCATACAAAAAAAAATCTATTAGATTTGAACAGGCATTATTCCAATAGATGTCAGAAAACTTCACAAAAGCCTTTTATACCAATTACATCACAATCCAATCTTAACATCAATCATGCAATATACCATTTAGGAGGAAAACAGGTTCATATGAAAAGAAACAGATATACCTGTCTGGATATGGCTCATTACAAATCTTTGTAATACTAAAGGTTCAAGAGAATCCAAACAAAGTGAGCCATAAAAGCCACTCTCAATTGTAATTTCCTTGTTTTTCCTTCAGATGCATTGACTTTCATCTAGCTTTTTTCTGTTTACCACAGATACTACAAAGTGTAAATAGACTGTGGTTTAGAACTGAAAAACAAGCTCTTGTGGTTTAAATAATCATTCTATTTAGTCACCTTCAATAACCATTCACATTTCCCAGAAACTGCCCCATTATGCAGGCTCTTTAATTAACAAGGTTCTACTTACTTACTTATCTTTTGTATTAGTGCTGATAAATACTCTGTGACACAGAAATGAGCTAATCTCATCTGGGGAATCTCATAGAAGAATCTCCATTCTCAGAGGTTTTCAAGACCTGACTGGACAAAACCCTAAGCAAATTAGTCTAAAATCAGTGTAGGCCCTACTTTGAGCAGCAGATTGGACAAGAGACCTGCAGCACAATTCCAACCCAAATGAGTCTGTGATTCCAAATGAAAGTTATTTTTCTTAAAACAGCCATTTAGAGTGCAGTTCAACCACTTTGAACAACTACAGAAAACACGTCAGGGGGACAATTACACATTTGCCTCATGGTTTATAATAACTTATATGTCATTAAAGTATGCAAAATGGTGTAAATACATTCCATAACACCATAAAAAATGACAATTGGACAATTTCCATGACCTTTAAAAGACATGATATGGTACAATATGGTTTAACTTCTAGTTCTCCTGCAAGAACTTTAAACACCACTGTGTATAGCATCTGTAATAATCAGATTACTTAATGATTAATCGAGTAATTATTAAAATACATTGTTTTAAATTACTTTTTGAAGAAAAATGTATATTATTTTTGAATGAGCTGAAGCAAAATGTAAGATAAATCAATAAAGTAATAAGAGAAAAACAGTATTTCACTGCACTCAATGACCAGTATCCGAGTAGTCTAAATACTTCATAAGCCAATGCAATCTAACTCCTCAATACTAATGTTATGTTTTTAAAAAACATAATAATTTCATAACATTTAACATGTGCAGAAAATGAAAGTGATAAGTTAGATGATTTTTCTGCAACTTAGGGA